CCCAAAAAGGAACCCAGGGACGTAACTGCATTGCCTTTAGCTATAGACAGTTTGAAGATATAATCTTTTATGGTTGCCGGTGACTTCATATTTTGTGGCTCTTCAACTGCCCTGGCATATTACATGCAGAAAGCAGTCCACAGGTACATATTAAATCCCCTCTCTGCTGTCAAGTAGTCCCACAAACAAGCAAAACTTCTAGCATGAATTTATGACTCCTAAAAATATCAAAGTGGCTCAGGGACTCTAGTTCCTAAACAAGAATCCAAAAGCTACATTTTTAATAACTTGTGCTGGACAAGCATAAAAGATGAATTTAGTCATATTTGCTAACTCTGTGATGAATAATGCATTGTCAAAGTAGAGGTGATTGTGAATTAAAATAATGCTGATGTGCAGCAATCAGCACTTACTTTAAAGGATTAAAATGGTTGCTAAAGTGACAGAAATATTTGTTTAAAATTTTGTTTTATTTTATATTTCACCTCTTTTGGTCAGAGTGACAGGAGGTAGAAATATTAATTTAAAGAACTATGCTATCACTAAGCTGAATGGAAATGTCAAATTCTTATTTTTAAGTGGTACATTTCCTCACACAGTTTTAAAGAAATTATTGCAATAAACGATGGAAGAGAATCATGGAGCATATTGAGACTTGGAAATAGGCGGATTTGGACAACACCGAGAAAGTCTCAGTGCCTCAAAGCATTTCTTCCATTTACATAGACTAGTATCTATTCTTTCTTCTATCCTCATTTTATTTTGTTTTATTAAAGATTTTATATCTGGGACGCCTGGGTGGCCCAGTGGTTGAGTGTCTGCCTTTGACCCAGGGCATAATCCTAGAGTCCCAGGATCGAGTCCCATATTGGTCTCCTCACATGGAGCCTGTTCTCCCTCTGCTCCTCTCTCTCTGTGTGTCTCATGAATAAATAAAATATTTGAAAAAAAAAGATTTTATTTATTTGAGAGACAAAGAGAGAGGAAGCAAGCACAAGCAGAGGGAGGCAGTGGGAAAGGGAGAAGCAGGCTCCCTGCTAAGTAGGAAGCCTAATGCAGGGCTATATTCCAAAACCCAATCCCAGGACCCTAGGATCATACTTGAGCCATTGGCGGACACTTAGCCGACTCAGCCGCCTTAGCACCCCTTCTATCCTCATTTTAAAAACATACTGCTAGAGAAGTGGTTTATAAAATTAATTCACAGTAAAATAGTTGTGAATATATGGTCCTTTTGCCTCTTGAAATCAGGCCTCCAGAGATACTGCACACCTGAAAATCTGAGAATAGAAGACAGAAAGTTCTCAGTAAGATATCGGGCCATCGTTAAAGTATTTTTTTCTTTCTGTAGAGGACACACAAGTGATCCTTCATGGGCCATACTTATCCTCTCCACTAAAATGCTCTGGTCTAATATCATTTTAGATGTAGAGATAAATCACTGTATAAGGAATGGAGTGGACTTCCAAACTACGAGGCATTACACTGGAAATGGTCCAACTCACCCTGGCTGCATCCAACTCTTCTTGCCTGAGCTGGAGGACTGTTAAAAATTTAGATTTACTGGCTTCTTTCCTTAAATCCCATAGAAAGTGAACATTAGATACAGAGTAATCAAAATTCTTTCCCTTTAAAATAATACAAAATTAATTCTTTATTAGAGAAGTAGCCATGTCTATTTCAATACCTAACATAGTTCCTAATACATAGATGCAGAAGAAACTGAAAAAATACTTTTAATAGATGGAAAGAAGGTAAGGATAAAAAGTTTGTAGTTTTGTTGTTGTTGTTGTTGTTTGCTTGTTTGTTTTTGGCTTTTGGTTTTTTGTTGTTTTTTTCCTAGATAGGTAATAAGGAAACCCCTTACCTACCTTCTCATATTTTTGACGCTTATGTGCAACAGAAATGTTGGAAACAAAAATCTAAAACATATTTTAAAGCATATTAAACTACATTACCCAGTTGTCTGCAAGACTCACACTAGCGTTGCAGCATGAAAATATGGCAAATACGTTAATTCGGGAATATCTCCAGTCAGATTTTGGTCAGATATTTTGACACATACCTAATTGCAATAGTTAAGTGAAAATAGTGTTTTCCCAAGTGCCATATATTGCACAGTTTTGAAGACTAAAGCTGAACTCAACATGTGGGCAGATTCCAAAGAGTCAAAGACAAGTCAAATGAAGGGCAGGCCAGAATGAGCAACCATTTGTGGAAGCACATTCAGGTCATGGTCCTCCAACACATGTGTAGTAATAGAATTCTGAAATGTGTGCACCAAGTGATCCTCCTCCTCTTGGTTTCCACAAGGGTTGAAGGAATATAAGACTGAATAAAATCCCAGAAGAGAGGCAGTTGTTGTTAGCTTCCTTTTATAGCAGCAATAGATATTTTTGTTTAAATATGAATAAAAAATGGAAACAAAATTTCTTAACAGCATGTTCATAGTGAAGGTTGAATTATTTAAACTGTGATTTGGGGGTGGGTGGGTACTAGCTCATTTGCTTCCAACTAGATAGGCCTTACCATGATACTTCATTAAGAACCGTAAACCAAATTTCTAGTAATATCCCTTTTTTTTATATTGGATCTAGGCATAGGTTTTGGAGTGGTAAATCAAAACCGCAAAAATAAGAAGGTAGAAAATATATAATCTAATAAAAATGGAACACTGAGTATACAAAAATAATGTCCAATGTTACTTAGCTACCACCCCACCACCCCACCCCCAGCTACAGAGAGTGCTCTGGTCACAGTGAATGTAGCTAAATATTTCATTGGTGGCCAACACAATTAAAGAAGTCATAGATTAAATAGTAGATCATCTTCTGCTTCAGATATCTTTAATTAACAGACCACTTAATGGGTCGATTTAAAAGATTTTAATGCATCTAAAGAAATATATTAACCTTAGCTACTTTCTCATAAAAAGTTTATACTCAAAGTTTTCACTGCCTCCCATTTTGTCTCACAGCCCTTTCTAATTTCCGCTGGTATAAATCAAATTAGATTTATTAGCATTGTACAAAAGAGCTCCAGTAGGTTTTTTAATAATAATTATCATTATCACTGATTAAAGTTATATTGTTCAGGCCAGATGGAGTCCTTTTCCTGTCAGCTAGAATGAGCTTGCATTATGTAGTTATAATGTGTTTGGATCTAAATAAACAGATGGCAGAGTGACAGGATATTATACGCTGGTGATGTCAGCAACAGTGCTTCACAAACAGAATTGCTTTAAATAAACTCTGTTGTGGCAAGGATCCTGATACTTTTAAGAAGGTGACTGGAATTGAGCCTCCTAAGTGTTATAGTGACTTGGAAATTGTACTGTTCGCTTGCAGAAGCGTGGACCATTTGGATGGTCTGAGGTTCAGCCTGAGAAAGTGTGCCTGTGAATTTGCTCCTTAACGGTGAAAGCATTGAACATAACAAATTCACTCAGGTGGTCTCTTAAGGAGAGAGAGAGAATGGGGGTGGGGGGGAAGGCTGCTCAAGTTGTAACATTTTTCAAGTTGAAGAGTTAAAACCTATGAGTCAAGGAGAGAAGGAAACATTTGATATCACCCTGTTGCATAATTTTTACAATTTAGATTATAACATTAGAATAAACATCTTGTATAGGCATATAATTAATATTAGAAATTATATTTCTAAGTTTAATTAGAATTACAATTCTAATTATTCTATTCTAACTCACAATTAATATTAGAAAATTAATAGAGAAGGTTTAATAAGAACTATGTTATAGAAAAGCTTTAGTTTTTAATAGATTTTCATATATACATTTTATTCTAAAAATAAGCCCTTCTTACTCAGCCATTAGAAACGACAAATGCCCACCATTTGCTTCAGTGTGATGGAACTGGAGGGTATTATGCTGAGTAAAATAAGTCAATTGGAGAAGGACAAACATTATATGGTCTCATTCATTTGGGAAATATAAATAATAGTGAAAGGGAATAAAGGGAAAAGGAGAAAAAATAAGTGGGAAACATCAGAAAGGGGGACAGAACATGGAAGACTCCTAACTCTGGGAAACGACCTAGGGGTGGTGGAAGGGGAGGTGGGCGGGGGGTGAGGGTGACTGGGTGGCGGGCACTGAGGGGGGGGCACTTGACGGGATGAACACTGGGTGTTATTCTATACGTTGGCAAATTGAACACCAATAAAAAATAAATTTATTATTAAAAAAAATAAGCCCTTCTATGCTCTTATACCCACAAATACTTAGAGTGAACTTAGGAAATTCAGAAGCAAACTTCTGAGAAAGTCATTATACATGATTTCTTCTAGCTAATACTCTTTTGCTTAGTCCTTAGGAGAATTTCTCTGTAGGACAAGAGTATATTTGCTGAGGCAAATACCTAGAGTAGCCTAGTCCTTAAGAAGAAGAAACTGCTACAGGAAATAAAGGCTTGTATTTGAAAAAGAAAGTAGTACCAACAAAAATTTTAAAAGAGGGTATCTCAAGCTTTGTAAAAGGTTCATATTTTAAATGCTTGAAACTTTTTAAAAAGATTTATTTATTTGAGAAAGAAAGAAAGCACAAGCATGGGGGGCAGAAGTGTAAAGGGATGGGGAGCAGGTGGGCAGAGGAAGAAAGAGGGATTTCAAGCAGACTCCCCACTGAGCGTGGAGCGCTACAACATCAGCTCTACTTACGGCTCCGGGGCTCGATGTCATAACCCCGAGATCATGACCTGAGCCAAGTCAAGAGTTGGACGCTTAACCAACTGAGCCACCCAGGTGCCCCTAAGTGCTTGAAATTCTTATAAAATGATGAGAGGATTTTGAGTATCAGCAGATTGTATTTCAGCTTCCCGTGCATTTGACATTCGGGTTTTGCTACCTAAGTGGGCACTTTATGAGCTATGTTTCCACTACAGTATAACATAAAAATCCTCATAAAGGAACAAGAGTATTTTCTTTGAAGGGTTATCCCTAGTCAAAGAGCGAAAGATTATAATGTGCCTGTGCTTTTTCCTGTTCTACAGGTGGACGTTGTCATAAGTCCTGTACTGGCCGATGCTGGGGACCCACAGAAAATCATTGCCAGACCTGTAAGTGTTCAACACTAAGAAGGCATAGGCTTGAAATGGTCAAGGAATTTTAATAACTCATGTTTTTCACACTTTTGGGTCATCAGAAACATGAAAATGAGCTTCTGCTTCTTTGTGGTAGACTTGCTACTATTCAAGTAAAGTAAACCGTCCAATTTTGTTGCTTTCAAATGAAGCATAGGATATAATTGTTTCTTATATTCCTTTGTGGTTTCCAAGTTAATACTATCAACAACACAGATGTGCTGATATTATCTATGATTTAAGAGTCTGTATATCAGAGAAAGTAGGAAATCCAAATGTATACAAAATGGTAACTCCATTCCACATTAACTGAATATCTCAGTACTTTCCCCCAGTAGTTATAACACCATTTATCTATTAGAAAAAGAAAAAAAGGAAGGAAAAACAAACAGTACCATGTCCCCACTATGTTCTAGGCACAGAAATATTAACTATATGAATTATGAGTATAGATTCACTACTAAAGTGAATTTATCTTGCCCTTGCCTATATTTCTTTCTTGCACTAGTCATTAAAGTAGCTATAAGCTATCATCACTGCTAAGACATTTAAAAAAGTAAAAAAAAAAAAAAAAAAGTATTTTAAGTACAAAGAGAAGTATCTATTTTTTTCAGCATTCTTAAAGCCATATTTAAATCAGCACTGAACTTTCACTATCTTAAGGATAAATGGTTTCTTTAAAAAAGAAAAACAAAATGCTCTATGTAAATGGTAAAGATTTTTCTTTCTGCTGCAATAACAATGGCTGGAATAATATATGGAAAACAGTGTGGTTGCAATTTAAAATGTATTCCTTTATTAGCATAGAAGACACAGAGAATGTTATTGAAAGTATGAATACACAAATATTAGATATTGTGGAAACTTATTATACTGTTGAATGGAAGTCCAGATATTTCTAATTTGTCTCAGTTCATATTTGTTAGATTCCATTCCAATAAAGAAACACAAAAATAATTACTGCGAGCCACCATAGAAACAAGGTATAGCAAATATATATATTCACTATAGATTATAGTACATATATATATTCTCTCATTGATAAATGATTTCTTTAAAAAATAATAATAATTCATGGACATTTTCATGTCCAACATTCATAAAATAGAAAGTACTTGAAGTAAAAATGTCTTCCTACTTTTGTTTTGCTTCTGTCCTTCAGCCACCCCTAGGCAACAAATGTTACTGGCTACTTCTTTGTCTTTTTCCAGAGACAATTTATGCATACAGTAGGAAATATGTGTATGTTTTATCCCATTTTTCACTCAAATGTTAGCATGCTTTAAAGCACCTCGATTTTTTTTCCTCCATGCTTATGTGCATGAATTTGCTTGTAGTGTTAATTCCTAGAAATGGTAATTGAGAGCCTGCCTTCGGCCCAGGCCGTGATCCTGGAGACCCGGGATCGAGTCCCACATCAGGCTCCCTGCATGGGGCCTGCTTCTCCCTCTGCCTGTGTCTCTGCCTCTCTCTCTCTCTCTGTGTCTCTCATGAATAAATAAATAAAACCTTAAAAAAAAAAAGTTTAAAAAGTTAGATGAAACATAGTATCTCGGTGTAGACTTAACTTATTTGACAGAAATACTGTTTTAGGGGACCTATGTTTTGGCAAGAATTTTAAAGGATTGTAAAGATTAGATTAATATATGAAATAGGTTCACTACAATAGTAGTAGACAAGGTTTTCACAGCAAAGTAGTCGACATTGAGTTCCACACTATGCTAAAATAACATTGATGTGGCCTTACTTAAGAAAGTCAAGATTTCTAACGTAGAAGAATAGTTCTAATACTCTGTGATGAAGTGGCAGGTAACCATGGAAATTGTTAAAGTGTGCAGAGGTCCACAGGTCCTCTCCTGGCAAGAAAACTCCTGAGTTGTCAAATTTAAAAATGAATTTTTACTCACTCAATTACTTACTTATTTTTACAAAGGAACCAAGGACACTTCTCAGCCTGGCTGCTTCTGTTGTGTCTGGGACCCTCTAGTGGGTCCACCCACCCACCCCTGGTCTGCTGCAGGGGGAGAGGACTCTCAGGCCCACCAAGCCCACCTGGCACCCTTGAGGCCCACCTGTTCGATCTGGGGAATGTACAAGCCTACCTGGGCTGTTTTCTGTTGCCACCTTACCTTTAGGAAATGTTAGTTTAGACTCCTTTCTTCTGTTGGGTAGAGGGACGTAAGACACCTACTACTGTGTTCCTCCAGTTCAGGGTCCCAGACCAGTTTGCCTTTGTCTCAACATCTTTCAGAGTTCTCCTTTGCATTGTTACCCTTTGCATTATTTCCACAGTATGCTGCTCTTAGTAAGGAAGGACAGGGAAAGGCAGGTTCATGCCATTATTTCTGGACAAGAAGTCCTGTGTAGCACTTTTAATAATACTATTAATGAATGAAATTAAATAAAACTATTTTAATTAATGTAATACTTGCTGTATTTTATATGTGTTTTTGTAGAATAAAAAAATGTAATTTTTATTCTCTTTCTTTGTAGTAGTAGGAGGAGTGTTTTAGTGCTGAATGATCATTCTCTAATTGACAGGGAGCCAAAGTCTTGGAAATCACTCTATTAAAAGATAGAATGTGAAAACAGCACACATGAGTGTTCTCCAACTTTGAAAATTAAAGATGTCTTCAATTCATACAGCATTCAAAATGCAGTAATTTTTAATTAATTTTAAGAGATTTGGTTATATTAGTAAAAAAAATACAAAAGTTAATAAAAAGTCATAATTTTCAACAACTTCTCTTATTCTTATAGTAGACAACTTTTAGGTAATTGCCAAGCAGACACCTGTCTTCCTCTGAGAACTACCCCCTTCTAGAGGGGTGAGTCATTGCACCCATGTTTGTTTTGTGTGATGCTCTAACCTTAGTCATAGGACAGTATTTCTCAAACAGAAGTGACTTTGCCTCCAGGGGACATTTGTTCGTCTGAATATATTTGGTGTTCCAATACTGAATCAGGCTTGGGGAGCATCTATTGGCATCTGGTAGGTAGAAGCCAGAGATGCTGCCAAACATCCTGCAGTGCATAGAAGAACCTCACTCCACCCCTACCCAGACAAAGAATAATTATTCAGAATGAAATTTTAAAAGTACTGAAGGTTGAGAATGAAAAATCTTATAATAAGAGTAAATATTGACCAATGCTGGGCCAATGAAACTCTCTCCCAGAGAATTAGGACTTGGGATCCAGAAATTCTGGTTATACTACATTAGAAATCTGAACTTGAGGAGATATTACACCTAGTGGAAGTTTCCATTTTGAACCTGTTAAATAAATCAGTCACGCAGAGGCAAACAAAAATCAGAGACACAAAGAGAGTAACAATTCTTACCTACTGATTCTCTGGCCTTCATGAAGGCCTTCTACGCGTCTATCCTTAGGTGCCTTAAGAAACACAATGTTCTTCTAGCACTATTAAATGAGTTTTTTACTTGCCACCAAGTGAGGGTGGGAGGCAGTCTTGACTAAGAAAATCATCAAGCAGTATCAGATCATCAGCATGAAGTCATTTAATTCACCTACTTTTTTTTTTTTAAGATTTATTTATTTATTCATGAGAGAGAAGTAGGCTTCCTGCAGGGAGCCCAATGTAGAACTTGATCCCCAGATGGGGATCACACCCTGAGCCAAAGGCAGACGCTCAACCACTGAGCCACCCAGGGTCCCTCACCTACTTTTTCAGCATAGAAATCAGGCTTACTATAATGACCTAAAATCAGCTTAATGGTCTCTGTGCCTCCACCACAGACTCTATCAAAATCAAATTCGACAAAAGCATTTACATGTATCTGATATGTGCAAATACAAACTTTGGAATAGTATTTATTTGCAAGGATCTTTTATAATTCATTAAAAGATTCCCTCTTAAAATTTACTGTCACCGTATTCCTGTGAATTAAAGAAGACAGTTATCCTTACATCATCTTACAATTGGGGAAATGTACCCTGAGGAAGTGATCAGGTGTTAAATTTACACAGCTAATACCTGGGATTTCAACCTGAGTGTCCTGAGTCCAAAGATAGAATGGTTTCCTGTATACTATTTTGCACAGCAAGCTTAATGGACAAGGACATTGAATTTGAAATCAACCAGATGATACAAATCCCAGTCTTTTCCATTTTCTGTCATGGGAAAGCGACTTAATCTTTCTAAATCTCAGTGACCAAATCTAAAAATGGAGATAATTACACTTACCCCAAAGGTTGTTGCTTTGGAATCAAATTCACTGTAGTAATGGAGTTGAAATGCTTAGCTATATTTTAGCATAGATAAGGACCTAATAAATAATAGCTAATATTTTAATAAGTTGAAGGAGAATAGTGTTAGAAAATATAATCCATCTTAAATATGAATGAATACATGTGGAAGTGAAATTCGTGTGGGCTAGTTTCACCTTGTGAAGACTACTGATATCATGGCTGAGGAATTAAAAAGGCAAAAACCCTAAGAGTGAAGAGGAGGCTACTTGCCCTCGACATTCACTCCTGTTCTCTCTCTCCCAGTTTGAGCTATTTGAAAGGTAAATTACTTATCCATATTTAAAGAACCCACCATTCTGAGGCAAAATGTATTTTGGAACTATTCAAAGACATACTTATTGTAAGACCTGAATTTTAGAAATATGTTTGTTTTTTCTTTTTTTTTTAGGTGAGTGGGGGTGGGAATTAGACTTTGTAAGAGATTCTGTAGAGATTCTAAATTCTGAAAATGATCATATGTGATCAAAATTTTTTAAGAATGTAACATTTTTCAGGCTTCCTTTAGACTTCTAGCCTTTCAGTTACTTAACCTTAGGCCCACTTGAGGCATACTTTCCTCTGAACCCTGACTGAGCTTTGAGGAATACCTTCCTCTGAACCCTGACTGAGCTTTTTAAAAATCAGAAAATCCAGGCTGTACAAATTTTTATTTTTTTAAGATTTTTTTTATTTTTATTTTTTATTTACTTGAGGGAAAGAGAGAGAGA